TGGGGCACTCACGGAGCCGGCGTTGGGCGGCAGCGGCGGGGCCTGGGCGATGGTGCGCAGCTCCTCCTCTGCGATGCGCTCCACCTCTTCGAGCACGCCCGAGTAGAGTACCTCATCCTTGACGAAGATGCTCACGGCGCGCAGCATGAAGGACAGGAACAGGTGCATGTGGATGTAGTTGCGCGTGCAGTGCAGCCGCCTGTGGGGTGCGCGACAGCGACGTCAAGGCCGGCGAGGGCACGGGCAAGGGCGGGGCCGAGGAGGGTCAGGGGCATGCACCACCCAGGATCCACCCAGAACACGCTCATATTAGCCAGGCCCCGCCTCTCACTTCCGGCAGGCCTTGGCCCCGCCCACCTGAAGTAGGCCAGGATGAGCACGGCGACCGTGAGGGAGGCCAGCGACACGGAGTAGCCCACGGTGTAGATCATGCCCAGGCGGTCGAACACCTCCTGTGGAGTGAGGAAGCACCCGGACGGAGTCAGAGTCAGGGCTGGGTCGAGTCACCTGTGGACGTGGGCGGGTCTTAAGGAGGGCCCGCTGGGGGAGGGGGCAGGCTCGCACCCGGTCGCGCGTCTCATTGGTCAGGAAGTTGAAGCACTCGCTGTAGTTGGCCCACGTTCTGTTATGCCCAGGTACCAGCTCCCAGCTGCCATTGCGGTCACAGCGTCGGTAGGCATGCCCTGTAGGTCCGCGGTGAGAGTCAGGGCAGACGGCGGGGGTGGGGGGCGGGGTGGCTCTGATCCCGGTCATCCCATCCCTACCCCATCCCTTACCTTTGTGGTTGAAGTCGTAAATATAGTCCGGGCAGCGCACAGCCACCACCTCACCAGGCGCCCCCGGAGGCCAGCACAGGATGTGGTCCCACTCGGGCAGGCAAGGGCGCCCTGTGCTCACACAGACAGACAGGGTGGTCAACTTTGTGGTTAGTGCCCCACAGAGACCAATGCACCTGTGGCGGTGGGCTCCCAAGGGGTCAGGGGTGGCCAAGGACTGCAGATTTCTAGCTGGAAGCCTTTGGGGAGCCCCAAGACCCCGATGACAGCCCCAAGTACTACCATCTTACCTGTTGTACTTGGCATCCACCTGGCCTCACAAAATTCCCTACTCCAGACCAGGCCTCTTTTTCCCCTCTTTGCCTTTGATCTCACCTTCCCGAGGAGGGCAGGTCCCCAGTTGAACACCTGGCTTACCTGTGCCTAGCTTCCATGGGGACTGTAGGCCACCCAGAGTGGCCGACTCACTGCAAATTTCCCCCATGTCTACCCCTTGGCTTCCTCACTGGTACCCTTGTGTCTGCCCTTCCACCACCACCTAAGACACCTGCTCTGAGACTATTTCGCCCACTCGACTCCCCAAATCTAAGTGCTAATAGTGAGGTTCAGGTCAGGGTGACACACGACCAGGCCCCCATCTCACTATAGTGATGCTGAGTCCCCAGAGAGGGTCCCCAACTTCTCCGGGTCTTCTGTGTTCTCCCCCCAGGATTCCACCCCTTCCTCCCCACCACCACTTCCCACCCCCCCACCCCCTGCCCTGGCGCAGGGCTCCAATCACAGGACTTCCCAGTCATCCTGGAAGGCTGCCTGGTGGCTAGCCCCGCCCCAACTTGGTGAAAGGCTCTCTGTCCTGGGCACCATATTCCCAGCCCCGCCCAGCCAGGCCCACAATTCCCTCTGGTCCCCAGGGAGCCACAGGGGTGACCACAGCCTCCCAGATGTGGTCCATCTGGAATCCACTGCCCACCCGGCCAGTTCAAGCTAGCCCTGTGGCTCCAGCCTTGGCTCTGCGTCTGTCTGTCCTCGCCTCCCAGAGGGACCCGCAGGTCGGCACTTGCCTCCCTCCCCTCTCTCATGTCTTCTTATCTCTGCTCTGCTCGCTCTCCCCTGCAATGCATCTGGGTGTGCTGACTGCAAGACCTCCAGCTTGTGCATCTTGGTCTCCCCTACCACCCTCTGTCCTTGTGACTCTCTCCTGCCTCTGTCTTTGTCTCTCTGTCTCTCCCAGCCCCTTCCCATCTCTCTTAGCCTGACTCTATCTCCCCCTGCCTCTTGGTCTCCCAGGTTCTCCATCATTCTTCTCTCCATGGGCAGATCTGTAGCCCAGGGCCCACTGCTGGGCCGGGGCTAGACTAGCTCTCGGGCTACATCTCCCTGAAATCACAGCCACCCTGCTGCCCTGCCCCCTGTGCACCTGAGTCTGAGAGCGCCTCCTGGCCACCCTCCCTTCCCCATCTTGTTGTCCTGGGGAGGGGCCAAGGCTTCTTTGCCATCAGAAGCAGATAGAGACACCTGAGCTCATGACAGGGCAGAACAATGTGGGGAGGGCGGGACTGACCCTACTCCAGACAGACACACAGAAGCCCAGATGTACCTCGGTGCCTGCTATCAGCGGGCGCCTCCTGGTCTTCTTCCTTGGACTCCGGGGAGAGCTTTCCTGGTCCCTTGTCTTTCCGGGGCTTCCCTGAGGTGGACGTGGATGTCCATCCCTTGTCTGACTCCATTATGCTGGCTGGAGGAGTCGGGGGAGTTATGGCCATCAGTTTCTCCAGGGCCACCCTCCTTCCTGGGGCTTGACTCTCCCTTTGTACATGGAGATTGGACGCCCTGCGGAGCTCTTGAGGGGCTGAGGTGGTGGATGGGGGTGATGGCTGAAAGTGCTTGCCAGGTGGGGGAACAAGTGAGAGACACTCTCATGCCAGGCAGGGCTGCTCAATTAGTGGGCTGAGTAGTAGATGTGGGTAGGACAGGACAGAGGCAGAGGTGTAGCCTCGAAGCCAGGAGCCAGAGCCTGCAGGAGCCAGAGCCTCCACCAGGGGGTGCACTGGCAAAAGCAGACCAGGGGGTGGTGATGCCAAAAGAAAGGTTAGTCTGTGAGGAGCCAGGTTGGGGTGCTACACAGTAGCAAAGCTGGGGGTGTGGAAGACAAGAGTGGGCTGCAGTTTGTCTGTCCAAGGTAGACAGACACCCAGGAGTGAGCAAGCTCACCTCGCCCACCCCAGCCCCCACCCCAGGAAACTATAGTCAGGGGGTAATAGGTCCCACCAGTGACCTAGTGACTTCCCATCTGAGCATTGCCCTCAGTGAGAGATGCTGAAGGTCTCTCTCTCTAGCCCTGAGAACTTCTCATCGTCAGTCCCTTCAGCAACAGCTCAAAGCAGGACCCCTGGCCCTCCCAAGTCAGGCAACGAGAAGTGAGGCCAGACCCCTGGCGTCCTTGGCATCAGTAGAGTGCGGGCAGCAGGATGGGATGGAGCAAGAACAAAGGGTCTCAGCCATAGGTGGAGAAGGGGCAGGGCGAGGGTCCCCCTGACTACCACAAGCAGAAAGAGGGCTGGGGTCAGGCCCCAGAGGGAGGAAGACCCACCTGACCCCCAGACCTCTGATAAGGCTGGGCCTGGGGGCCCGGGGAGTCCCCTGTGGGGCTAGTGTGGTGTGTGTGGGGCTGAGGCTGCAAAGACCAGGTGAGTTCCTGTACGTGTGAGCCACGTGCTCTGTCCCGTGTGTCAGGGCCCCCCACCCCCACTCTGAGGGCCAGGTCAGGAGAGGAAGTGGCACTTGTGGGTCAGTCAGTTGAGGTCTGCTTGAGACTAACCAGACAGAGGCCTGCATGGTCCTAATGAGGCCTCATCTCCGCTGACTGCCAGGAAATAGATTCAACAAAGGGAGGGGAAAGGAGGAACCCAGCTTGAAGGGGTTGCTGTGGGAGCTCTGAAACCCGGGAGCACCCCACTACTACTGCTGCAGCTGCCTCAGGGCAGGGGTCCCAAGGGCAGGCTGAGCCAGATGGGAAAGAGCCCTCTCTTCTGGGGTTGGGGGTGGGTGGGTGCAGAGGTTGATGGTGTCACCAGGCTTACACGTAACCACCTGGTCCATCCAGCCCCACAGCCCCAGCATCTCCTCTCCCTGGAGCCTCTGCTCACCCAGCCTCTTCCACACTCCCACCCATCCTGAACCTGGCTTGGACACCTCACCCAGGAAGTCTTCCTGGCTCAACATGCTGGAATCTGGCGCCCTGGTGAGGGCTTCCGCCCAGGAACTGCAGCTGTTTCCACATGCCCTGCCCCCATTCCCAGCAGGATCCAGCTGAAAGCTCTCTCCATTTCCCCCCTCCAGGGGGCAAGTGCATGGGGCGGGAGCCTGGGTGGTGGGCAGCACCCAGACCCTGAGACAACGACCACTTGAGCCCGCAAGCCCCACCATCGCCCGGTTCACTCCACTGTGGCTCTGTTGGTCCTCACTTTGGCCTAGCCTCTCTTAACCCTGGTCCACCCTCGCTCCCCTCTCCCCCCACAATCCCGCTCCCGGACTCCGCCCTCCCGCCCTGACTCCGCCCTCCAGTCCCTGGCCCCGCCCTCACCTGGCCTCTGTAGGACTTCCAGGAGCCTCTTCTCGCACTGCGCCTGGGCTCGGTGCAGCAGGAAGATCTGCTCCTCCTTGGTCAGGACGTCATCTGCATCCACCTGCGGAGCCCGAGGTCAGCCGCAAGCAGGCCTGCCCAGCCCGATGGGCCAGCCTCAGAACCCTCCCGACACCCCGGAGGGAGGTCCTCTTTCCTCCAGACCCTGACCCTGGGAGATAGGAAATTCCTCCTTCCCTAGTTCCCATTTTACAGATGGGAATCCGCCGCCCCCGAGGGCAGGGCCTGCGGGGCCAGAGCGGAAAAAGGGGCTGTCCCCTGCCTGCCCGCCTGTGACCCCACGGCCGCTGAACTTCTCCGTGCAGCCCGATCCCCAAGGGCACATAGGAATGGGATGGAATGTCCCAGGATCCATGTTCACATGATCCAGACTGCGAGTTGGAGCCCCGGGGGGGCGTGGCGGGGGGGGGGGGGGGGGGG